AGACATTTTAATTTGCTTGGTTTGGGATAGGACAAAAACATTGGTATTGTTTTATATCTCCCAGGTGGTTTTTCACATCTCCCAAGATGATAATGTGTTGCCAGGTTGGTGAACCATGAATCTGTAGTAAATTGGGGAATTCAAGCTTGTTTAACACTTGTTGAACGATTTGGTCACTGTTTGTTTTTTTTTTTTTGTTTGTTTGTTTTTTCGTTTGTTTGTTTTCAAAGCAGTGGTTTTCAAACTTTAGTGTACGTGGGTTCACTTCGGGCATTTGCATATTTACTTAGCACCTTTAAAGAATTCTGATTTTTACTCTCACAATTTGATGAAAGGAGACTGGGATGAATGAGAATGATCAAAGTCTGATATATAAACATTAGACATATATCACTACCAACTACAACTATGCTACCTAAGGCGAGGTTCTCAGACCAGTAACATTGGAACATGAGCATCAACTGGAAACTTGTTTGAAATGCAGAATTTAGGCACCTATCCCAAACTTATTGAATGAATCAGGCTCTGTAGTTTAACAAGATCCCAGGTGATTCAAATGCACATGAAAGTTTAAAAAGCACTGGGCTATATAAGACGCTTGAACCTCCCTTATACCTTGACTATACCCTAAATACTTATTCAGTCTACTAGGTGAGTGGTTCTCAAAATAGTATGTATCATAATGACCTGGATAACAAATAAAGAACACAAAGGCACAGGCTTCCTGAAGTAACATAGCGCTTGAGCTGCTGCATTTGTGCCAAAGTGTCAAATGATTCTAACACTCAAAAACAGTTTGAAAACTGCATAATGTGATTATTGGTAATAAAATTTGTCTGTTTGCCTATTGTCTGGGTTTTCTGCCAGATGATGAATTCTACAAATCGATTTTGTTCATCACTGTACATCCAGTATGTGGAATAACACCTGTTCCATGGTATGCAATCAGGTATTTGAATGAATGATTGAATGAATGCGTTGTATAACTACCAAATACAGGAGAGAACATGTCCCGAATTATTATTTTTTTTTCTCACCTTTACATTTTGGACATGGAACCTTTATAAACCTGCAGAAGGAGGTGGATTTCATAGGCTAAACAACATTAGAAGAAGAACTTGTTTCTCACTTCCTGTCACCTATCTCCTCTCACTTAAAGTTCATTAGCTCTATACAAGGTAATTCTCTTCTGAACTCTTCTTTATTTCAGAAGGGTCTTTGTGTACTCTAAGGCAATGTTTGTATATTGTATCTTTATTTGTCTGCAGGCATGTGAGTGCTTGGGAATGCATATATGAACACATGTGTGCATGTGAATTTCTATTCAGCTGTTGAATATTTGTTTCCAAGAACAATCAACCTACCAATTAAACATTTTAGCTACATTAGGAGCTCCAGTAAATAGTGACATCAATTACATCTTACAGTTCATGAGGGTTACTATAGCACTTAAGTCTATTAGAAAAGTTTCTAGGTAACGGATATTTGGGAGTCACAAAATTCCACCTTGATTTTAATCAGCATCTACTTAGGACTCACACTTCTAGTTTTTCTCTAGTAAAGAATGCAAATGCAGCATATAAATGGATTTTAGAGTAAGAGAAGAAGGCCTGACATTGCCACTCATTGACACCATACCTTTGGGAAAATTATTTCACTTCTTTGAGCTTTAGCTTCTGTGGTGGTAAAACAAAGATAATAAGAATTATAAGCTTAAAGCGTTGCTGTAAATATTAAATAAAATATAGTCAATAAATTACCTAGCGTAGGGTCCGGCACCAAGTGCTAAAAATATTTGCTGATATAGTAGAAATTATTCTATCACTTTATTTCCTACTGTTTCTAATAAGTCTTTAAAACCTCCTTTTAGCATCTGGACACAAGCTGTGACAATTTACAACATTGCACAGATTAGTCATTAAGTATCCAAGAGCTCAAACTGGGTTTCCTTGGACACCAGAAGACCTCAGCTTGGTAAGGCCCAAGTATATCGGGTATTGAAATAGAAACCAAAAATATTTTTTAACAATAAATGTTCCCTCATATAAGTATAAATTATCTATGGACATGGACAACAGGGTGGGGATTGACTCTTGGAGCTGAGGGTGGGCAGGGCGGGGGAGAGCTGGGTGGCAAAGTTGGGACAACAGTAATAGAGTAATGAAAAAAGGAACCACAGTCCTCTGATACCTAATAAATGTTCTTTGGGGCACAAAAACAAAAAAATATATAAAATAGGATTACAGATTTAGTAAAAGATTTTTTAACACATTTCCAATTACCATATTACTTGATATTTCTTCCATTGGGGAATCAAATCCAAAATGATATACTTGTTGAACCACCCACATATTTTATTCTTATTAAGCAAAAAAAAAAAAAAGGAGTATTCCAAGTATGAATCTCTCTGGAATAAAACTGTAACCTTTCTGTTATCATTGGGGGAAAAATGTATTTTCTACTTTTATGTATGCATGCTGGGCAGAAATCAGCCACTCAGATATTCTGGTGTAATTACTTCATTAAAAGAAATAAAACCTGCCCTGGCTGGTGTGGCTCAGTGGATTGAGTACTGGCCTGCAAACCAAAGGGTCACTGGTTTGATTCCCAATCAGGGAATACGACTGGGGTTGTGGGCCAGGTCTCCCATTGGGGGCGTGTGAGAGGCAACCACAAATTAATGTTTCTCTCTCTCTCTCTTTCTCCCTTCCTTCCTCTCTGTCTAAAAATAAATAAACTAAAATCTAAAGTAAAGAGAAGTAAAACCTAAATATAGAGTCTTTCTAGTTTAAATACTTAAAGCTTAAAAGTTCACTACCAGAAAATCCCCAGTGAGCCAAATTCATGTGTGATTACTACAAATTTAATGTTTCTCCTCCTTTAAGAGTTTTAATAAAAACAAATTTGCAAGTAACAACATATAACACAGGACCTATTCTCTTTGAACCCCTCAGCGCAGAAAGAGTCCCCAAACTCTGTATTATACTTTCTGTACTCTTTGGGAAAACCTGAAGGAGTAATTATCTGCGATAAAGAAAAAAAATCATAGGCAAATATTTAAAAAATGTGTTGCAATAAATGTGGAAACTTTTATTTTCTTATTCTGCAAATAAATTTTTCTCCATTTTCCCACCACCACTTTCCCCTGCACCACCCACCCTCACCTACTTCCCTCAAGCCTTCCCCACTTTGGCTTTGTCCATGGGTCCATTATCCACGTTCCTTGATTTGACCCTTCCCCTTCCTTAACCCATTAACCTCCTCTCTACATCCCTCCCACCACTATTGGTTTCTTTTTTCTTTCAGTGTTGCTGGTTATATTTTTCTTGCTTGTCTGTTTTGTTAATTAGGTTCCACTTATGAGTGAGATCATACGGCATTTGTCTTTCACACCCTGACTTATTTGACTTAGCATGATGCTCTCTAGTTCCATCCATGCTGTGAAAGGAGGTAGTGGCACTTTCCTTCTTTCTTCTCTATAGTATTCCATTGTGTAAATGCACCATAGCTTTTGGATCTACTCATTTACTGATGGGCACATAGGCTGCTTCCAGCACTTGGCTATTGTAAATTGTGCTGCTATGAACATTGGGGTACATAAGTTCTTTTGAACTGGTGTTTTGGGATTCTTAGAGTGTAATCCCAGCAGGGGAATCACTGGATCAAAAGGCAGTTGCATTTTCAGCTTTTTGAGGAAACTCCACACCGCCTTCCACAGTGGCTGCACCAGTCTGCATTCCCACCAACAGTGGACTAGGGTTCCCTTTTCTTCACAGCCTCGCCAGCACCTGTTGTTTCTTGATCTGTTTATGATGGCCATTCTGACCGGTGTGAGGTGGTACCTCATGGTAGTTTTGATCTGCATTTCTCTGATGGCTAGTGATACTGAGCATCCTTTCAAATGCCTCTGGACCCTCTGTATCTCCTCCTTGGAAAAGCATCTGCCCAGGTCCTTTGCCCATTTTTTGATTCGATCGTTTGTCTTCTTGGAGTGGAGTCGAGTGAGTTCTTTATATATTTTTGGAGATCAAACCCTTGTCAGAGGGATCATTGGCAAATATATTTTTCCATACGGTTGGTTCCCTTTTCATTTTACTGATGTTTTCTTTAGCCATGCAGAAGCTTCTTATTTTGAGGAAGTCCCACTTGTTTATTCTTTCCACTATGCCTCTTGCTCTGGGGGACATATTCGGGAAAATATTACTGCATGGGATATCTGAGAGTTTCCTGCCTATGTTCTTCTCTAGGATTTCTATGGTGTGGCAACTTATATTTATGTCCTTTATCAATCTTGAGTTTATTTTTGTGTATGGTGTAAGCTGATGGTTGAATTTCAATTTTTTGCATGTAGCTGTCCAGCTCTCCCAACACCATTTGTTGAAGAATCTATTTTTACTCCATTTTATGCTTTTGTCCCCTTTGTCAAATATTAATTAACCATAGAGACATGTTTTTTGTTTTTTTCTGAGCTCTCCATTCTGTTCTGTTATATTGATCTATGTGTACCAGACAGTTTTGATTACAGTGGCCTTGTAATATAGTTTGATATCATATATTGTCATCCCTCCTACTTTTTCTTTCTTAAAATTGCTGCAGCTCTTCGGGGTCATTTATGGTTCCATATTAAGTTCTTGAATATCTGTTCTATGTCTGGGAAATACATCATTGGTATTTTAATTAAGATTATATTGAATCTATAAATTGTTTTTTGTAGTATGGACATTTTGATGATGTTAATTCTTCCAATCCATCAACACAGTATATGCTTCCATTTATTTGTGTCTTCCTTAATTTCTTTCTTTAATGTTGCATAGTTTTCTGCGTACAGGTATTTCACCTCCTTGGTTAAGTTTATTCCTAGGTACTTTATTTTTCTTGCTGCTACAGCAAATGGGATATTTTCATGATTTCTGATTCTGATATTTCACTGTTGATGTACAAAAACACCTTTGACTTCTGAATATTGACTTTGTATCCTGCTTTTTTGCCAAATTCATTTATAAAAACAGCAGTTAGATGCCACAATCTGTACATGGTAGTGCCTTAACCGTATGCATGTTGTTAGGCATGAAGGCCTCTTCCATCCTTTAGAGGGGAGTGCTAACCTTCTCTCCTTTCATACAACATTAAATATGGAAACTTAAATGGGATTTTTCCCAGTAAAATAAAACCTACTCATACTATAAGTTACTAAACTGTCTGAGAAATAGAAAATTTAAATGCTAAAAACAAATTGAATCAGAATTTTAAAATCTCTATGCATACTCACACTGCACCCTGGCCCTCCAAGACTAGAAGTTTTTGCTAATAACATTAAAGGAACATTTAGTCTCCACTTTTTACAAAATACTCTGAAGAATAAAGTAAGGTTAATCTCAGTTGTATGTACATGACTGTTTGTTAATTTATTCTCTTTTTTTTTTTGCACATGTGAAATATTTCCTAATGAAAATTTTAAGAAAATTATAAAAAGGAAACAGCAGGAAGCTTCTAGGAAAGAGATAAGTTATGCATACCCAATGGAGGAAGCAAGAACAGATGTGGAAAAGGTAAAGCAAGAAAGGGTGAAGAAGACAGAAGAATAAATGAGCATAAATAGTTTGTAGTTAGAGATTGGGGCCAAAGACTGAGGAGAGCTGTTTGAGTAACTGGCATGGAGACACAATTATTTAAGATGTTTTGCTAAGTATTGTATGGCCCAAATAAAAAGAAAATCCACATATGCTTAAAGGCTCTTTGAGTCAGAGTTATTCTTCTTTGGATGTGACACCATGTTAATACTGGTTATATATGTAAATTACCAAGTTAGATTTAAACTTCTCAATATTATAAGATATTACCACCCAGAGAATAGTGCCATCAGCGTAAGAGAGTCAAGATGAGACCAAAAACAGAGTAAGATGAAAGTTCAAACTATTCAGGTTTGCCTTTTGACCACAGTCAAAATTTAGAAGCTTACCTGCTCTTACAGAATCATAAAGGAAGACAGAAACTTGCAGAAGAAAATGCAAGCTATGGTTCTTCTTTCTCAACCCCTGAAGAAACAGGATGAGTCAAGTTCTTCAAATGTTACCATTAGATTTCCCTTCTACAACCAGTTAGATTTTCCACTGCCCCAATAGTCAGCCTCTAAATAGATAACAGAATGAAAAATGAACTAACAGAGAATATTTTTGTTAAATCTCCATAAGGGCAGAAATTCTGGAAATGTTTAGTGTCAGAAGCGTTTAATGAATGAATTAATACCATGGCAGACCAAATTTTCAGCTTGATAACTACTCTCCTAGAGTGCAGTAGCCAAAAAAAAATGCCTGAAAGATGATGGGCTGTGTTTGTGATGATATACAATGTTGGTCATGTTACACCTCAGCATCACAGGAGATCAACCTCCAGTTAATGTGCCCTTAGAAGCCTGTGTTCTATTTTTATTAAATAAGGTGGACCTGTTCTAGAGAATTATACTTTCATGCGAGGGAAGGAGTAAGAGTTAGCCATTCCAGAAAAGTAATAACTTCAGAATCTAAAAAAAAAAAAACAAAAAAAAACAAAAAACAAAAAAAAAAACAGAAAAAAAAGGAAAGGATACTATAACTTAGCAATATCAAAAAACTAAAAAGATTAACTTAACTCTTTCCAAATAGCAAGTAAAAAAGACATACATGCATATAAAGCATATCTAAAGTGCTCTAACTTCAACAAAATAAAATTCTCTGGGCAGCTGTTACATAACTTACTTAGACATGCATTGAATTGGTGCAGTGGAAATTGCATAAAAAAAGAGTTTGCATGACCAACAACTATTGTGTTATGGATTTATCCCACTAATTTATTCTTCCTGCCTCTGACCTGGATATTGGCAGCCAATAATAGCAAAAAAAAAAAAAAAAAAAAAAAAAACCCGAGAAAGAAAATAATTGTACCTTTTTTAAGTATTTATTTTCCGTTTTTATGCTGATACTTCAATTAAAAGCTGCATTGGTCATGAACTACTCCCATTTTATTATACTTACAATGATTTTTAAACAGAAAGAAACTGCTCATGGGAACTCTAATCCTTCCATTATAGAAATAATTAAGCTCTTTTATTTATGATAAGAAGATATTTGGGGAATTTGGGACAACTATCGAATGGCAAAGAAGAAGAAAGGAGAAGGAGAAGAAGACAAGATATAAACAGATCCTGGATATTAAAATTTGAATTAGTGTTGCATACTGAAAAGTGCAAAGAAACTTTGAAAAATCAACGTGTCAGATTTCTCCTCTGTCTTTTGTTGCAGTTGTTCAGTGTAATTGGCTGCTTTAAAACTCCTAGATACGTAGACATGCAACCACGAACAATACACATTAAGGGAATGTGAATTCCAACCCAGTTTATGGCTCTCTATCACCATCACCCCTCTTGTTTCCACAATACTTAAAAGCCAAAGGAAGGAGAATGCCTCCAAGAGCTCTTTTCCTACTACAGGACTATCTGTTTTTACCATCAAACACAACAACTAAGTAGGTTATTTTCTGAGATGCCTGGCTAATCAGAATTTTTGTTAGGAGTGAAGCCTGTTTGTTCCACTGTAGAAAACTGCCATGTCAGCAAGGTTAGATTAGGATCTTTAAAATTAAATTATATATTTCAGAATTCAAAATAAAACTTTGTTTTTGGAAATAATACATATATGTGTATTGAAATTAAAATGACTTCTTCATATCATTTTCCATTGCTAAACATCAGCTAAGTTTGTTGCAGTGTACATTCCCCTTTGTTGGCCCTGAGGTGCAAGTGCATTAGGCATGACTTTAGCCTCCCTATTGTGTAAACCAACAATGCAAGTTTTCCTACTGGCTCTATGGTTTTATTTATTTTGTCTATTTTTTTTTTACTTTTTTCCCTGCTTCAGTAATTATTCTTTTGTAATCATACCTTAGAGTGTCCCTAAACTCTCTAACTTGACCAGCATGTCCATTATGTTGATTCCAAAATTGACAATCTGGCAACAAAAAGCTCAAAGAAGGAATGCTCATAAATGTTTTTGAAGTCTTTCTTGAGAAAGACATTTCACAGAAAAGAAATATTGGTATCTAAATAAAGGAATATTATCTTCCTTTATTCATCATTTATCCATTCATTCATTTAACAAGTTAAGTGATTATTATGGGCTTTACATTGTTATACAATGAAAAAGTAGAGAGGAACAAGAAACACTTTCATTCTAAAGGAGTGTTCGATCCACATTTTTTTTTTTAATGATGATATTGTGGGCCACAGTTCTCCTCCAAATATCTGTAAAGGAAATTCTATTTGGAAGAATGTAATAGTGAAAAAACTTTTATTAGTGTCTTATCAAATGTGAATATTGAGTGTTTCTTCTTGAAAAATGTAATCACATTGTAAGCACTACATGCCAGGAGATGCTTTTGCCTTCTTTCCAATTTTCCAGCTGTGCCTAGAAATATGAGTATAGCACCTATGCCCATATTATACATTCTGTATTTATGTATTCAAGTACTAATTGTCATAAAGCAATTGTGTCTGTGTTAATGCATTTGTTCTTATATATGCTTGTGAACTGTTTAGCATCATTTAGTCATAACTGTTTTCTTTAATTTTTGTCCATGATATATTCAGTAAAATAATAATAACTCTGTGTAAGATTAATGTATTAATATGACCACACATTTGTCTGGATTTCAAATTTATGGTTCATATTTTTAGGAACCAAAGATTAAATAAGCTGTTCTATACTCAGAATCAGTCTTCAAAACAGAGGATACATGAATATAATGATGAAAAATTGAAGCCTTTGTTTGTGAATTAGCTAAGAACAGAATGTGTCTTACTCATCTTCCATTCCCTAGTTTCTTGCTTAGAGCCTGAGTGAGTAAGTGCTCAATAAATGTCTGGAAATGAAGGAAAGGGACATTTCTGAAGTACAGCTCAGTACTAGGCAACCTAAGGGTGGTGTGGTAATCCCCAAGTGAAAGGGACAAGGAGGCATTTTAGGCATTGGATATCATGTGTAAAGCTTTTCAAGTGTGGAAAAGTCAAGTGTATATAGGGGTAAGGTGGAAATTCTATAGATCTGCAGAGCCTGATATGCAAAGAGAACAGTGAGAAATAAGGCTGAACAGCTGGACAGAAACATAAACAAAAGAAATTTTAATGAGAGTGGAAAAATACATTGGACTGGAGGTCAAATAAAGTCAGGTAGGCCAATTTAATAAGCTGTGGCAATAATTATTTCAACCCTCATAATTATCCCCTAAACGTCTCATTGCTCTTCTTCAAACCCAAAACATCTTGTTTCTTTTGTGTCACAAAGCTTATTCATCTTCTCCCTGGTAGTCCTCTTTACATTATGATATTTCCAATTAACCTTACCTGATATATTAATGTATTTGCTTATATACCTTAGGTAGTTACTGTTTTTCACTTAGTTTCTTTAAATCCCCAACTTACTGCCCAAAAGTTGAATCAAAGAGAAAATGAATATGTAGAAGTACAGGAAGGATTCAAACTTAGGCGTGCCCACATTCTATCACTGTGCCATATTGCATCTCTAACCAAGCATAGCATTGGTTAATTATATTTTTCAAGATCAGAAGTCTAGGAAACCCATAAACTACAAAAATTACACATTTTTCATTATTTTTTGGAACATGTAAGTCCTACACTCTACTTCTGACTTTCATTGAGGTTATAATTTAATGGAAAAAGGTAAGAGAAGAAAGCTATAATTTTCAATTTAATTTTGTGCTTTGCCTTTTTTTTTTTTTCCAGAAGCACTTTACCTCAGACAGGAGCCCATGAAATCTTAAATACCTAGATCTACAAGATCTACATTCTCCTTCTGAGAAAAGTGGCCCCAAACTGCTCTTTCTGTATTAAAATGACTACACTCATGCCAGGTGTCCTGCTCATGCATTAGCTTGAAAGAGGAGGCCATTTTCTTCTGAAGTGGCTTACATGAAGCTGCCCAAGAGGACCACTCTTTTTTGGATGACTACAGGCTAAGTTGGAAGAAAAACAGGAAAGACTAATGCTCAGAATATGTCCTAAATTATGGTTAGCGATTTTGCCAATTTACTGTAAAGTCTATTGTACATACCAGGATAGAAAGTTGCTAAGACACAGA